TTCACCGAAATGCACTTCAGATGCGAAATTTGAACATTTGGAGCAATTTAATTTAAATAAAGGGATTCAGAAGGACAACTTGCCCCACAGAATCGTTTCCATGATGGGCTCGGTCCACTCGTCGCAGAGGTGCATAGACGAACAGGAGAATTGGAGGGAAACACTGTGAGGGTTTGAGGTGCACGAGAACAATCTAGGATAAAACACATAGAAGGTATAGCGAATGTAGTTAACGGCATAGTACCCAGACGTCGTAGTTCCCAGTGCCTTCTCCCAAAAGGTTAAAATTACTTCTAGCAAACTCATCTATGAAGGTCATAAATAACCCATGAGATAGTTTGCGCTACATAGCGCCCCGTTATTTCAAAATTGGACGCCAACCCGAACATAGCAGTAAAAAGGCAATTAAAATGACTTTTACGAAAGGTGCGTGTTCGTCCATGTTAGCAACGCCAGTTTCGCAACTAAAAGTGGTTTCGAAAGTACCACCCAACAAATGCAGCGCCCGATAATTAACCATTGCCAAGTTAAAGGACAGTAACTAAAGGAAAATCGGCTTCAAAGAACACCGTTCAGCACCAAGAATAAAGGAAGGTCCCTTGACGCAATATGCCTTATCTCCAACAGTTATTATTTGTGGTATGATGTGATGAGGTGCGTTGCTTTACCTGAACTGCGTGAGACGACCAGACTGGAGCATCGGTGTTGCTGGGCGTCAGGAGCGTCAACAGCAAGCGGACTATTGGGGAGGACGGTGGAGCACTTGTCGCAGCAACGCAACTCCGCATGCAGCCGCAGATGCGCGGCAATAAGCTCTACCGAACTCTGCTCCACTAGGAGTGTTTGATGGAAAGTGAGGAAATAAGCAAACACGAACCTACAGTAAACTGGGCCACGCATAAACCACACTTCCACAGGAATGGCTTCCACGAGGCCTCTTGCTGGGAGTCAACGGAAATCAGAACATCTACTGTTGCAGGTGATTTATAAGACAGCTTTGTGACTGAATCTATGGCAACCTCTACCCCGCTTGCAGAAGCATAAACCATCTGAGGTCGGGGGATCGAACTACAGGAAGGTAGAGTAAATCTACGGCTTGCCTTAGATATCCGAGAGATACACTAAAGTTACTTTTTGTGGTGCAATTTGAGTCGGCTAACTGAAGACGCCGCCAAGGTCGTTCATCGCCCCAAGTTAGAAGGACATGAAGTGGAAGTGGAGCCTGAAGCACGCGAGTGCTTATGATTCCTCGAACCACCTCGGACAATTCTCCCCACTGGCACACTGGATACCGACCATAAGACAGCGATGACACCAAAGTTGACCCGACACCTGCCGTAGATGCCTGTAGCACAGTTAAAAAGCATATGAACATGTTCAAAAGCCTAAAATATCAACGAGCCATCACGCATACAGAGTAGGCGCCGTCTCAACCGTCTCTTGAGACCTACGAGCCGAATTACAGCGGTGATTTTTGTCGTATCGCAAACTTCAACGCATGTTTTAACCCATTTGACTAGATGCAGAGCGTATGGAAACAAACATAGAAATGGAACCACCAAAGAATCGAGATCAACGGATAATCTCATGGCATCCGGAGATTAGCAACCTAGGATAAGCCATCCTGGAACTTTCACGCACATACACAATCAAAAGAGACCACAAGAAAAATAGGAACACGTGTACTAATTTGGCACATGACTGCGTACAAAAGGTGCCCATCTTGAGCTGAAAAAGAAGGATCAGAGACAGAGCGCAAAGCCTCCTTGAGGGTCACAAAGGTGATCCAGACTGCGGCATGAAGAGATAACGGAGAAGTTATTTAACTCCATTAGAGTGGTGACTTGACTGTACGGCGCATAAGGGAAGGAAACTCGTGGAAGTGGTGAGGCAGTCGCACATGTAGGCAAGGAAAAGCAATGTGGCGAAATGGAAGAGGAGAAGCGTAACCACGCCGGACATTGTGATTTTACTGCCTGTAGGCGATTTGTACATCTTGCCTCGTCAGGGTCCAACTGCCGACCCGTCGACGCATCAATTAGCGCAGTGAGCGAGTGCTTTGCTCCCGTCGTATAGCGTTCAATGTCGTAGACGAGGATCCAGTTGGGTTCCAATGGAGAAGTAAACAGAATGCGATCCGTAAACCCCTCTGTACAATCCGGTATCTACAATTACGATGCGCCTACTTTAATGACAACACTTTCATCTGATGGAATTTACTCATCACACAGTAGTACAGAAAACCGAACTTACATCGAAAACAACCTCCTCCATATGCGCGATAAGGGATAGTCCAGGCGACAAGTCTTTACCTTGGTCATAAGGCCGCCAGGTTTGGGTGTCAAAATATGAGTGGCACTGGCCACAGAGACGATTAGCCAAGAGCTTATCGGGGCTCAAACCACTCAAAGCGAAAGGAGGAGTCAATTTATTCTTTCCACGCTGTGGTACAAGTGCCTCCATTGAAAGAGCAAGGAATTTTATCAATGCACAAGTATTTATGCGACATATCACGTGCAGAAAATAGCAAGTAGTACCGCTTAGCACTTCAGTAATCAAGAATATTTGGCATTCAGAAACCGGACACCGGTAAACACCGAATAAAAGCACAAAATCCGCCTTTTGACTCACCCAGTGCAAATAAGAAGCTCGGATATCCTGCAACATAGCCAAGTAGTTCAGTGGCTGACAGAAATGTAGTTGTTCACGAGAGGCCAGCAGAGATGGCATCCAATAGTCAAATTTGTGCCTTGGCCCGATACACTTATGGTCCTGTAAAAAGTTGCTGGCAAGAAGCTAAAAAAAAGGGAATAAATTCTTATAAAGTCCTCCACATAATTTGGACCTTCTTACATGGTGAAATAAGAAATTCGGAGTGTGGATTGCATAATTGTTAGTAAATACTTACAAGAGGATGTCTGTGACCTTCTGGCCATGGTTCATCCAACTTGACGACACGCACAGGAAGCGTTGAAAGAGCACACCGTTTACCAAAGCCATAAGATTCCCACAAGTCACAATTTGGCCAACCAGACGACAAAACTTGTGGGTGTTTCGGAGAAAATCGACATCGACTAACGTCATCTGACCATAAGAAGCACGAGGAGCAATAATTGTTTGTCAAAAACGATTCCCGATGCGCTAGAGGGGGCAGATATGAAAACCTACCCCGTGCATACTTATTGCGGTCCGCGTAAGAACCCTAGCAAAAAGTTTTCTCCGAAATAGAACAGGCTAAAATACCATAGGCATTGCACACGACAAACTGCCACCAAACGAGCAGCTAAGAAGGCGAACTTGGCGACCTTGGCTAACCCACGTAACTCGCAAACGTCCTGTTTCTGGACACACCGATGGATGCACACTAGAGGTCAAGTCTCCCATACACGAGCACACTTGTCCTTTTGAAGTGGCTTTAGAGGGGCAATGAATTAGCTTACCTTTGTAACTACAGTTAGGACTACCATCAACCACTTCGGCAGACCATCCGGAGACACATTCGCGACCAAAAAAGGAGCAATCAGGAGATAAAGTAAGATACTGGAAATGCTTTGGACAGTAGAAAGAATGGCGTGTTCCCATAAGTTCACATGCTAGTCGGCAGTCGGAGCAGCTTGGCTCAGGCATTGTACCCCAGACGATTGAAATCGAATCTATGCCCTGGAAATAAAGAAATGTGGATAATATAGTTGTGACAGAATAACCGTGACAAGCCATTCTACTTACCAAAGAATAAATTAGAACAAATGCCTGTGTATCAGCTATCGACTGAAGGAATCGAACACCAAGTTGGTCGTGGATCCGATTGTTTGGCACCGAGGTGGAGAATGCTGCAAAAGGTTTACCCAACCAAGAGTTGGGGGAGCCCTCATCGCCAGGCACAAGCCAAAAAGCAAGCCTAAATACATTTGATCTGAAAACGTAGGATACAAGAAAGCGCCCATCTGCAGTGAACCCAAGAAATACTTCATCACATAATGCCTTAGGAAGAATGTCCCATAGGCATATAGGCCTTAGACTCGGGAATATGGGAAGTCGAGTGCCGAATACTTCTCGACGAAATAGTGCTTTGACCAGATCCATGTTCTAAAAATAGTATGATACATGACATGTCACAATCGCAAATCTGGCACAATAAATGCTGACACTATTAAAGCGACATCGCGGAACGTATGGAGAACATAATGAAAAGTTAGTGTTTATTTATCGATGATGCTCTAGTTTGGAAGTAAGCCACAAGTGTCATCAAAAGTCAATACATCTCCCTTTGCGTTCCCAATCTCCGTAACGGGTTGGTTCGGGACCCCTAGGCCCATTTCTTTCGCCAGTCTTCGGGTTAATATCGTTGGGAAAGCGCTCGAGTGGTTCCTTTTCAGCGTCCGGATGCGGTTCCAGTGTACGATTAAGTCCTCTTCCGATTTCCTCACAGTTAGAAGAGAAACAAAACCGGAACTTGGCTATAACAGATCCCAGACCTGCAACCCGAGCACCGACCGCGCGATTCATTGTGCCGTTTTCGAGATTCCCGGGTAATCCAGTGCTAAGACTAACCTTTAAATAAGAAATATTTCATTTGCGATATGCTTTTTACGGGTAAAATTTGCTTACGATAATTTAAACCATTGTCCCCTCTAAGGTCTTGATATTAAGGCAAACATATAAAGTTAAAATAAGCAAGCCCGGATTATTCAATTTGCTTAAAATGTGTTGTCCTCCGACTTTCGAAAAGGTGTTTTTGGAGTTCTTTGAAGTTCATGATTCCCTTAGCCTCTTCGCAAATGAGGGAAGACATAGAACTCAAGCGTAATATGTTGTAATACTGATTTATTTAGCCACTTGTAGTCTAGCGGTTACTATGTTGTTGCCTTGCTCTTTTAATCGTGAGCCGAATTCAGGGCCATGATAAGGTCTAATCCACTCTTATTTTTGTAAAATATATTAAGCCCGACTTAATAATTTTGTTTTTTCTCAAATGGAAATATAAGAACGTTACACCGGAGGCAGCGGAAATTGAACCCGGCCTTTGTAACTGTAGCTACTGCTTGTCTACCCTCTGGTCCCTGGTTCTCAGACTTTAAGAGGAAGTTAGTTGTGGACGGTATACTAGGCATCTCTGTGAGAAGGATAGGGGAGTAAAATGCAGATGTGATGAGCAGGAGATGTCAATCGCAAGGAGGCTCCTCGTTTACCTCGCGTACGTGACCCAAGTTTCCAATTGCTTTCCGCCTCTCGACTATAAAAGTCCACTTAAACAAACTAGAATATATTACAGTAACCACTTTTATACTGGTACCCTTATCTATACAGCGCAGAAAAAGAGCAACAAAGGGGTTACGAATGATGTCCGCATCTGACTCCACATTGTGCTCGTGTTCCACATATAAGCTACTACTACTGAATTAACACCTTCGCGAACTATCTTGGTTAGTTTCATATCGGAATTCTTCCCGCTGCATCCTCGTGTAGGTGTCAAAGGTGGTCCTACTCCGAACCCCACGGAAGGTGGAGCTGTCTTCGATCCCGTCCTATCTGATGAGCACCAGTTGTGAATCAGTATAATATTGCCTACTCCGGGAAACAAATGACGGCCAACAAAATTTTCTCCCGAAAATTCTTGTTATTATTCCGAACATCAGTTCAAGCTACTGAAGAGGCCAAACGCAATCCCCAATCTTGTGTAGCTGATTACTAACGCATTTATCTCATTTGTGCCTTTTTGCAGAGCCAAATACATTGTGATGGCTGACGTGGGAGGTGCACCAAGGAGAGCGTCGAAGATGACGTCCAAAAGGAGGTGAAGGCAGTGTAGTACCATTTTCGTGTGACCACCTAATGTCTGGCCTTGCCCTTGTGCTCTTGAGCTATCTTCTTATCCTACATAGTGGGAAGTCTTGAGGCAATAAAAATATACCAGGACAAGCTGAGAAAATTAGGTTCTTCACATGTCCCTGTGCCCACTTCAGCCAACAGAGGCAATAGTCTACCCAAGTGTTTGCAGATGATGTTGAAAGTAAAACGGGCGAAATGAGAAACTTTTGCTAGTTACAAAAAAGTATGCAAATTCAAATGTGCTGGGTGTAAGTTCTTCGCCGCTCTCATGGGCTTCTTATAAGTTCCCACCCTGTGATGAGTTCTATTAGACATCCCAAAAGCGATGTGTCAAATTGACATTGCGCTAACAGCTTCTCAAGTAGTACGTTCAAAACAAAAGTGGCTGGTAATCTGTCTCCCTTCAACACTTACCGCACTCCCCTCTCTGACAGAAAACTATTACAAGCGGAAGCGTACCAGTTTGGACTCCTCCCCAAAGACGCCAAGCTTTAAGCAGTTTACTTTAGCCTCCCAAGACTTTCCTTTAGGTAGAAAAAGATATTGCTTAAACGAATACACGTGTTCAAGGGAAAGCAAATGCATTAGTTTTGAGTTCACGCGCACATGAACCAGGCAAATCTTAGAGTAACTGCCAGATGTCGTGCGACCACATAAACAATGCATTACGCATAAAATAGTAGTATTTTTATTTGCAAGTGACTATAGGGAATTTCATGATTTCATTTGTGGAACTGTTTCCAGACCAGTATTCAAACATGTTGCCTGGCATACGCATGATTGTTAAGATGTCCCCTTATTTGTAGGCCATTTATCTAAATCGCGAAGAATGCAGGTCCAGCTAAAGCTGGGGTAAGGGAACGCTGACCTTTAGTATCCTTGTAGCCGATGCGGTATGAGACGACCTCGAAGTCGTTCCCAAAGCTGAACACTTTGTATATACTAAACTATATGGCAAAGTTACGAGTCCTTTTTGTTATTTTTTCGACCTATAAGCTTGTCGCATATGCGCTTTTGTACATGGTTCGGTCGAGTTATTATGTTTTCAAGCATCCTCATTTTCTGAATTCTAAAATAACTTTGATTTGCAAACCCACATTCGCACTCCATGCTTTTCAGCCTACTAGGCTCGCGTTTATTGACCTGGTGCGTGCATCTATTTGGATTGCATATTTCGGCAAAAGCGTGCATTGGCGTGCTAAACTATTCTAGCTTCTGTTAGACTCAAACCATTCGGATCTTTTTTTTGTTCGTAATGATTTCTAAACTGTTCTGGCTTCAGGAGCTTCTCGTTCACATAAGGCTCTAATTTTGTGGTTACCTCACCTTGCCCATCAAAGCCTAACTTCTGAAATGACCTCCATCGGTGCTGGAATCTCGTCAGCTTGTGCTGCCTCCCAGACAGACGGTGATTGGCCTATATTTACGGCTCCTGATGTCTCTGAATCTACACTTCCTCGCGAATTTCGCAGCCGACTTCACAAAATGTTCGAACGCGTTGAACGTGAATTTGAAAGGGAATATCAGAAATTATGTGCCGAAAACTATGCATGTAGGCTTTGACTCACGTTCTTCGTAGCTTTTCAGTTCTATCCTTTCAGTTTATCAGCAAACTAGATGATCTTATTTTTTTGTGGTCTATTCTTGCATGGCCATAATTATGCCGCCGAATTTGTCCATAGTACAGGAGAAATTGGAGAAGTTTGAAGACGCTGAACATCCAGAATCCTCACTCTTTACTAGAAAGCGTAAGTTACATAGCTGCAATAGTATTTCTTCGACACAAGTGCTTTTTAAATTTCAAATGCTCCCTTCTCATCACATTATCGTCGTTGCTCTGCTAATGTTAGTAACGGCCAGTCAGCTGTCGCACCGCATCAAACAGCAGTACAAACAGTCTACATCACGCCTCGTCTCGAGCCTTCGTCCAGCTTCTGGCGGCCTCGCTCTTCCCAGTCCTGGTTCTAATCCAGACTCCTCCCGATGTGGTTCATGGAAATTTGTCCATAGATTCACAGGGCATCGTGATGGGGTTTGGGAGGTCACTTGTTTCCACAACCTCATTGCCACGGCTTCAGCTGATGCTACCGTTAGATTGTGGAATAACTCAGAGCGACACAAGTACGGTCCTTTCTGCCACATAGTAGGATCTCAACGGCCTTTCGGCTATATATTTGAGCTTTTTACCGCACTTCCACCAGTCTGTACGAATCAGATGGTCATAAATGTGTTAATCACAGATGTCATTGTGTAGCTTCGAGGTTTTGTGACGACTAAAATGTGGACCATTGCTGATTGTAACTATTTCCACAGTTGCTTGCTCATTTACTCGGGTCACTCAGGCTCGGTAAATTCGGTCCGCTTCCGTGATCGCGACAATCTCATGCTCACATGCAGCGGCGATGGCACCGCACACCTTATTGCCCTTCCCTCTGCGTTATTTGAAGCGGTTGCTCCAGCTCACGCCGTCCAGGGCGCCTCCGGCGATCTTGACAATGGACACCAGTCTGAGGGTACGAATGCGCATCCTTCATCTTCGCTCTATATATTCTTCTTAGCCTGTCCGTTCATTTGCGCTGCACCTTTCAGGAACCAACACAGGTATTGAAGCAGACAGTCAGGCTGAGGGTGAGTTGAGTACACCGTTGATGCTTAATTATATGTAAATTTATTGTTTCTGCTGTTGTGTAAACTATTTTTCACCGTAAATTTGATTGGTCTAGTCCCTTAACAGCTCTGGGCCGTCTTGATATGGTTTTTACATTTCTTATCTTCTCTTCATAAACTACTTTTTTACTTAATCTCTGATCTCCGGAACTTTCAACTTCTAAATTTTCGTCAACGCGTGGCCTTTTTACTTGAAACCATCCAACCCAGATTCTTGATGCCTTGAAACGGTCAACCATCCTCTATCGCCACTGTGCACGTTCCCTGGAATTGTGTTTCTCTGTTGCTTAGCCTATGTCCAACTCCACTTTGATTGCTCCAACAGAACTTCCTTTTTATTATTTAACTCCTTTTAACTAAGACCTTTTCTTTCCTAGTGCCTTGGGGCTGCCCACAAAAGACCACTCAAACGCTTAAGTTCTCGCCTAAATCTTACTTTGTGTGTGTTATACTGCTTCATCTGAACAACTAAGAAGTCATTTAATATTTTATAATTGATTTGAAATTTGAAACTGCTACATCGGGGAGTGATTAAATCTGTTTACTTACAATTCACTTGACCGAAAGTCCTGTTTATTTATACAGATTTTTTCCGTCAACATAGATAGAGATCGCGAGTGTAATTGGGTTGTTGTGCTGCATTATCCCATAACAGCCATCATACTGAAAATTAATCCCAACTCTTATCTAGTTATTTGTTGTTTGATCGATGCATTCAAATACACTCCTCATGGTCATTGCTTTTACTACGTTTATTTGCTAACGAAAGGTCCACAGACATGGTGTATGACTGTCCTACTACAACTTTACACTTGATAATTAACTCCTTGCTTTTTCGTTGGACTAACATAGGTGTTCAGCTACCGGTGCAACTGCGTGATCCCTCAGCCGTGTTCCAATCTGCAAGTCTCTTCGTGGCGGAGGCAGGAGTCGTTGGGGGAATTTCTTCCGGCCTATTGGCGTGTGACAGCGTCTCATCACTGGATTCCTATCCCCTTGCAGCAGCCGACTTTGTGTGTGGTCGCGAGCAACTCATAACGGCCAGTTGGGACCGCCTGGGTCACCTATACGATCTAAATACCGGTCAGGAGGTGCAGTCGCTCGCTGGTCACGATCGCGAGCTCACTGACGTACGTTGCTGCTGGGACTCTAACCTCCCTGTCGTTGCCACCTCTGCCAGGGATTCTACATTTCGTGTCTGGGATTTCCGCCAACCTCGTCTTGAGGTACACGTGCAACAAGCACACAGTCGGTCAGTTTTCCCCTCACCCGAGCTTTTCCACGCCTTTAAGTGCTTTCATACTTTCCCATTTTCACTAATAAAGTTGCCAAACGGAACTATAGCACACTCATGCCTACTTGGATTTGTTTAGTAAAAAATCAATTATTAATGTTACGGCGTTATTTTATCTGGCTCATGACTCTCAATTCGGTTCGCAATGACTGAACCATTTTTTTTATGAATAATTCCCAAACCTTGTGAGTTTAGAACTGTCTCAACTGCACAATTCCTCCCTGGATCGGGTCCAGATCAGATTGTGAGTGCGGGGACAGACCGGTGCTGTCGACTGTGGGACTTGCGAAGTCTGCGATCGCCGATTTTCACGGTGCGCACGGATGCCAGCATCAACCGCTTGGCGATATCTCGGGCGGGTCTCTTGCAGTATCGCCAGGCCGTGGCTGTTTCTGGCTTTGCAGCGCAATCAGGTGGGGAAGGGTGGAGCGCTGGATGTTCAACAGGGGTGGTTGGAGGAACTGGAGGTAACACAACTGCACCTACCTTGGGCACCGACGCCGTCACTCACTCCTGTGTCCTTGCTCTGCCCCTCGACAATCGCACGCTTCGCCTCCTGGCCGCCAATGGCTCACGTATTGGACGTATCCCTCGTAATATCGCTCACGTAAGCCAATGCACTTTTTTTTCCAACTGACAGTTGCCTTCTCTCCATTGGCCTTTGAGCCTTCACACCTTTAAGCTTGGGTTAGTTCGTATCAATGAAGCACGGCTTATGGAGCACTTTTGGTCCGACAAGGTTGAGACTAGTTTTACTTCTCAAAGATGGATGGGAACGGAAGCCCTTTCAGGATTGGGACCTTTATAAGATGATGAGCTACAACTTTAATTAAGGACAACCGGAATTATTAAAATTCAACCGAGATTGTCTGCAAGCAAGGTCATTTTTCGGTAGATTGTGTTGGATGCTTGTACCACTGTAATCATTTCGATGTTTGCCATTCAAAAGAGTTCATGAATGTAAAAGGCAGGGCTGGTGCTAATTGGTCATTGGTTCCATCATGTAGACGATGTGAAGTGATTTTCTTAACCCGGTGTCAGTTTTGGGCTCGGAAATTATTCAGTGGGTGTCAAAGCACTACCCTTTTGCTATCAGTTCGACAGCGGGCAGTCGTCAGTCGAGGCGTAAATCGTAGGCCATCGGGAGAGAAGGGGAGGGTCTCCTTTTCCACGACTGCGAAGCAAATTATTGAGAATGTGTGAATGTGAATGTGTGGCAAAGGATATTCTGAGAAGGCTGAAAAGTCCAGCTACGGCACTGTTGATCAATTCCACTTCTGCTTCCATTGTATTCGCATACCAAATTCATTTCATATTTTAATCATTTCCTACATTTTTCCAAGAAGTTTGTTGGTTAACCTTTGGACGAAACTTTTACGTACGTATTTGACCAGAGGCTAGGTCTTAGTCGGTGGTGTGCTCACTATTCCCTTTCTTCATGTTGATTTAACTGTGCCGACGCCTTGTTGCATTATTATTTTGTGAAAGCTAACCTGTTACTTCATTTCCATGATACCTTTATGTTCTGGTGATTGAAGGGGCACACGAGTGCTATCACAAGTGCGGCCTGGGCAACTGAAGGCCAATGCAATCTCTTCACCACGGGCTTCGATCAGCAGCTCCTTGGGTGGCAGTTGCAAATCTCATGAGCTCGTGGCTCCTTCCCTTGTCCTTCTATTTATGATTTTCCGCTTCTTTTAATCTTGCGTCTTTATTTATTACAATCACCAGCACTCAAGAGCATTCTCTTCTTTCATGTGATTATTTGGTTGGTAGACATGTGTAAGAGCTGTGGCCCAGTGCCTGACGCAGCTTCCTGTGGATAAAGTGAGCACAAAACCAGTTGCTGTGCTTCTACTTTGTGAACTTCGACCGTCATACTTTTGCGGCACATTTCTGCGAGATAGAATCGTGAATAGTGCCTTGGGCATCCTACACTAGTTTACTTTGGATCGACGATTCTCGGACTTTTTTTAGCCATCTTCCTTTAAGGGCATTGTGTAGCTCCGGTTTGGGTTTTTAAGAGTTCGGTTTATGGGATGAGGTGTCTTCAAAGAAGAGAGGCTGAGACTAGATCATTTGCACTTTACAGGTGTTTGTTCTGCGGCAACGCTATCGTCGCATGAAATAGATTAATTTATAGAGCAAATTGTATTCGGAAGAGCCCAGTGGGTTCGCTTGGGCGGTGAGTCATTTGTCGAAGAATAGGGCACTTTCGAGAGCTAGATGCTTTAGAACTTCACTCATTTTGTGTAGGTGAAGGTCTTGAGCTGTGTATAGGAGGCAGCATCGGGTTACTACTGCCCAAAGAAAGAGAGGGGGGGTAAGCCTTAGCGTATCCCTGGGAGAAATTGCAGATTTGAAAATAGTTTGTTTCCTGTAGTTGCCTCATTCCCTCCACGCAGGCGGGGGGGGGCATGTAGTAGAATTCGTCACAGAGCAACCCGGAGTACTTGCATGATATCGGTCAGGTAAATGCTATGTCTCTGGCCCTACTGCCTTCTCGATGATTGAACTGCGATGGTTTGAAGCCAAATCCCTTTTCCAAAGCCGCCCATAAGGGGAGCAAAACTGCAGGTTTGCTAACCTTTTTAGGGTGCATTACTGCCATTGTTGTTCAACAGTTTCTCAGTTCCATCTAACCCACGGGTCTTTTTTTTAATTATTAGGTGCACCCAGTGATACAGGCGATCATGTCTGGGGATTGAACTTCCACCGCCTAATTTATGCCAGTTCAGAAATTAGAAGAAAATTCACGTTTTAAATGAGGGATGTTAACGATTTTAACCACGAATGTCGAATGCTATTAGCCTGTCATGTACATACACAGATAGTCAAAAAACTAAAGTGCCCATTACTGGGACGAAAAACCATCTCAGTTTCATGCTTGTTGGCATAAATTTGCTGTTTCAACATTTTGTTTTGTCACAGCCAGACAATTTACTAACCTTATTTTATATTAATTGTAAATTCAGCAAAATGTTTAATTGCATAGTATAGCAATTTCTTTATACAATGTTCCGTATTTATTGCAAAACAGTGTAATGTTAAAGAAACACTGATGCCATTGATTTAGTATGACCTACAGATCGGCTAGTATCTTGATACGCTGATTACAGGCTCTCCTATTCATCGCTGTGTGCGTGCGCATTATTTCATGTATTTTTAATGTGCACTGATATGTCCCCGGATTTGCCTGCTCACTATTGCATAACTTCAATCGTCTTTTCTCCCACAATATTCCGCTTGAATTTATTAACTCGCCTCTTGCCATTGTGTAAATTACTCGATGTCGTAATATCAGGTGGAGATTCATAGATTAATTTAAATGGGCTCTACCGATTTCAAGCGAGTATCATTTAGGGCTCTTGGCTTCCCTGTATCATGATGAGTTTTTTTACATGCTCAAGCTCTTCTTTTTCCACACTTGATGAACCTTTCACTGGCCTAAAATAGTACATGCTTGGACGTTGACAATTACACCGTGCAAGTTATAGGCTTATTACGTCGTTGACGTCTTGACGCTTTGAAGTAGTAACAATTGCGATGTTGCTGTAATGTGCTGTTCAACTAGGAACTGATTTCTGTACTTTCTGATTTTGGTTCTCTTAGTTCCTATGTTTAGTGCTTTCGGATATACCTTCTTGGAGCGGCTCGGAAAGGGCACCTATGGTGAGGTTTTCAAAGCTGTGTATCAGGTAATCAAGATTTTAGGCGCGTAACTTCGTTAGAAGTCCCGCGGTATTGTTGCCATAAAGCGCATATCTAAAAAAGCGCTGTGCAAACGCGCTCAGGATAACCTCGTAGAGGAGATTGGTATTCTGAAGAAGCTCCAGCATCGCAATATCGTTAAGATGATTGATTTCTCGGTAATGTGTCAACACATTCTTCATCTTTTATTAGTGGGATTTGGACTACGTCTACATTTTTATGGAATATTTGGGTGGAGGTGATCTGGGCTCTTTTCTTAAATCAAAAAGAAGTCTTCCTGAGAGGACGATTCGCTATTTTCTTCAGCAGCTCGGTATAATTTTGAGGTTTTTACCTTTTTCACATTCCAGCTTTTGCATTGCATTACCTATATGAGAGAAACATCGTGCACATGGACATAAAACCGCAAAACATACTCCTAACAACCTCAGTCCCACCGGTTCTGAAATTGGCGGGTGAGTTTCTCTAGATCTGCCACAAAATCCATTGGGATTCGCATTTACATGTAGTGCAATCTTACCAGTCTCTTATTATGCTTTCAATGACCTCTAATGTCTCTCCATGTTTAAGATTTCGGTTTTGCCAAGTCGCTAGAGAAGCCAGTCAGAATGGACGAGATCCGTGGTTCTCTGCTTTACATGGCTCCGGAGATCTTCAAGTTTGGTGTCTATGAAAAAGCATGTGATCTTTGGTCAGTGGGCGTCATTCTCTTCGGTAAGCACCGTACATCATCTGCCTCTGTGCTTTATCATCTTGCATGAGTGAGGTGCTCTTTTGCATCGAGACCATCAATTTTTTTTATTGAGAGTGCATTGGAATTGGGACTTTTCGCGAACAGATTAAAGACTTGAAACTACTTGTCTTTATCCATACTTATTAATGAGGAGAGTTGTTAGTGATTTTTAAATGCTAATCAGTTGAGTTTGCTGAATTTTCGTGCTCTCTTGTTCGTACCGTGTTCTTAGAATGTTTATTCGGCCATGCCCCATTCACTTCCTCCACCGTTGAAGAGTTAAAAGCCAAGATTTTGGACGAATCTCCCATCAAGGTTTGGCTATGTATTTTATGCGCTACGTTGAAATTTTGCAATGCAAATCTAATTCTCAGAGGCTTCCACTTGTTCGACGTTGATGCTCAATTAATCTCAACCATTTGTAGCGAGATTACTTTTTTGTGACTTTCAATTCCTGTCAAAATGTGAACGTCAGTGAATAGGTTTGTTTCATGTACCTACTTGAATGTAATTTATGCTACTTCGAAGTTTGAACACTCAATATCGTTTGCTGCGTTCAATAAGCCCCTGTAAATCTTAACTCTTGACAAATTCACTGCTTCTAATCCCTGCCGCAGATCCCCAGTCAACCTGCCTTCAGTAGGGATTGTATTGATTTGGTTTCCAAACTACTAAAACGCAAACCCTCTGAGCGGATTCCCCATGAGGAGTTTTTTGTTCACCCATTCATTGACTTGGTCCACGCCCCGTCCCCGCAGAGCATCGACAAGGCCGTGAGTTTGATCAATACTGTTGTCTAACCCGTCTCCATGTCCTTCCTCTTCTTCTTCGACTAACGTTGTTAGTCACTCTTTTGCTAGATCCACCACATTGTGGCTGCTGATAATCTCTACTCAGCAGGAGACCTAGTTGATGCCTACTTCAACTACAAAGAGGGACTTAACCATTTGATTTCGGCTCTCCAAAGTAGGCTCCATTGATTTCTACCTTCACTTCCCCTCATTCATCACATTCAATCATCCGCCATTATTTTAGTTGAATCGGACTCCTCGAAAAAGCGAACAATAAGGGCGAAAGTAAGCACAGGGTGTAATGTTGCAAATTAATGTTGTGAAATCTTTATCCGTTTTGTGGTGAATCTGACGTAGTTACTTGTCTCTATGAAATGCTAAGTATGTGATTGAGTGCAGGGCATATAATTCATTTCGAAGCTTTCAATAGGCTAAGGTGCAGACAAACTCTCGCTATTTTAGCTTTCTCAGTACATAAAGGTGGCAGAAGAGTTGAATCGTCAACTGGATGCTATTGAAGTTGTTGCTTCCAGCCACAGGTAATTGTAGGTATCTTGGTAAATCAGATCCCGCCCTTAGTGCCAAAATCAAAGGGGCCACCCTGCCTGCGGCTAAATCTCCTAAAAGGCCGGATCCCATTAGCAGAGCAGTTAACGAAGCCATCTTATCAATAAAGAAACTCGAGCAGATACCGTCCTTGACCGATCTCCAGTCCGTTTCCCTTGATACTGTTGGTGCACCAATTTCGTAAGTCTACGTCTTGCAGTTCAAAGTGAGTTTGATTAACTAGCTGGGATATTGGTCGAAACATGTCTCTCTAGGTAACAAAATTCAGCGCTACTACTAAGACAATATCCATTTGGCCGCTTACTTTAGAGTTCATGTGCCCGAACCATTCGTTTCGCCTTGAGTAGTGAATATGTAGTGCAGGTACTAATCATTGATCACGATCCTGCTCCTGTATACCTGCTTCCCTGTTATTAAGTTGAGTAAGTAGTTTGATTTTCAAATCTAAATAATTTGCACCTAGAAATACTTCTTGTCTTACCACATCTCGTCTGTGGTGGTTGGTGTGTGCACGCGAATTAATAGTCATTGGCTAAGGGTGTAATAGCATGCTGAGCCTATGATATTCTGAGTCCTTGGTGTTGATCTGGTTGATTGTTAAATATTCAGACACAACAAACGCTTTAAATGGATATCTTTATGCTAGCGGTATCCCATCTTTATGTGATATCTCGGATGCGAGGAAGCAAGAAGCAGAATCACTGAAGCGCCAGTCTTTTGCCTCCACCTCCCCTCCGGTATCGAGTCCGATTCGCTTGGCCTGCCTACGTAAGACATGGTTTAACTCCCCCACCAGTGCTGGTGGAAGCAACCTTGTCCCCTCTAGTTCCTCTCAGATTCCGGGCTCCACTAATATGTTTGATGACGCTATTCCTGTGCTTAAAACCGAACCCACATCACAACCCTGCGTCAAGACAGCATATGAATATGCCATTAAAAGGGTTGATGGGCTCAGTGAGTTGGATCTCCTTATCGTATTTGCATCGTCCGTTCTATACATAATCGCTCATGGTGGGATGAGACAAAAAGCCCTCTGCTGTAGTTTTTTTGTATTACGACATTGGCTTACTTCAGATTGGTTAATACTTTGGTTTCTTCATTATTTCCCAGCCCTCTCACGTTTTAGAGGAAATTTCTTCCAAAGAAAAGACTGGAATATCGGACACTCTTGACGACCTCAGGCGTTATTATACCTTTGTAAGTAGTAGGCTCACCTAAGGTTCTGCCCTTATTCGCGATCGTTTGATTGTTAGCTTTGTTTAGCTGCACAATAATGAGTACAAAGCCGCAATGGACTACTTGGAATGCAATTTCTACGGCTGGCTTGCATTTTTAAAAGGTTAGGCTTCATTTTATTTTGAATGCTGTCCTGTCGTCAGTGTACTTCTCATCTGTTTTTCCTATTATTTCCGCTGATTGAGTATAAAATATGCCGCTCTATTCACCATTCACTTACTTTGAAGCTACCGAAACTTACCTGCTTGCACCCTCTAATCTGTGAGTTGGTAAAGTTTCTGCAACGTTAAGGTGCCAAACAGGACTGTACATTTATAATAATCAGAACAACTATTTAATCTTCCACGCCTATACGTCTCCAGCAGGACTGGCTTGTTATTTTCACTTCTGCTTCCTCATTCCAGATCTCAAAGATTTGAAGTTGCAGAAGATGCTTCGATCAGAAGTAAGTTATGAAAAATGTGTAAATTCTGAAAAGGCCGAATTAGTAAGCCACAAAAGGTGGGGTCAAGCTTGTGCAGTCGAAGAGACACTTGGCTGCTAATCTTGCTTAGAATTCATACCGACTGTGCGTCTTCGCCTTGAGTGATAACTTTCCTGCTTATAGCTGAACGAGGCGTTGACGGTTGCGGAAAAACTTAAGGCCACCCTAAAGACGAAAGAGGGGATAACTCCTTTACCAGAAGTAGAGAATGATGAACGTGAGCTTATTTCCCTACTTATCCTATTTCTTTTTTGGGTCTACGTTGCAGAACTATCAAAATTGCGTTATTTTAATTACGCTAGCGATCAGTAACTTTAGCGGTGTTCACAAATTTACAATTTTATTGCAATCTCAATCATGTTCTCCTCTTTTGGCTCCTACTGTTTGATCACCATTTTAGTACTGCTATCATTTCATCTCCTGGAGGTGCTTGACATGTCCTATGGTCACAGTGTGGCTACACAACACAATGCGCCTCTTTTCCTGCTTATGCCTCTAGTACTTTTGCGCTTTGTGTACAGCGTCACCTCTTGACATAATTTGGAGTCTACGAAATTAATGAAAAGGCCGTCTCTTGTCCATGAGCAAGGGTTTTGCTTTGTTTTAGTATAATTTTTGTAACTATTAACCCTGCTTTAATCTTTGTTTTTTAGAAGCCTGTCTAATTTCGTAGACAGTGCGTGGAGGCCATCTCCGTAGTATCGTGCTTTCCAGACTTGTTGTCTTACTAACGTATTTTGATAGTATCCTCGTCTATCTAGTCATAAAAATTAATATATATTTCTTCTACGCTTCTTTCAGTAAACAAGGAATTGTTTTACTTCGGACACTAAAGCATGAGGAATTACACCTCATGCAATGTGCTTTCATTGCTAGTGAGTTTTGAAATAAGTAAATAAATGTATCAAGAGCGTTACAATTTTGGGTTGTTCTTGTTTATTGGGTCCACGGGAAATACACTAGCCTACTGGCTTAAGTCAATGCCCAAGAATAGGCAGGTACTCTAATAAACGCACAGCGCAAAGACTCCATCAGCCCATGGGTTCGGACTCGTACGTCTATTTCCATCGCCTTATGGCAGCGTGATAAGGGTGGTGAGCGTCTCTATAAGCGTTCTGTTCATCCAACTGACGATGCTATCATTGACTGCTTAAAAAGTCGTTAATCAGCTGCGACGTCCCTTTTAAGGGCGATGAACTCTAACCGATGACGAAGGTGAGGTGATAGTAGCTTGGCCGACCAGCCGGTGAGAAAATAGGGGAGCGATGTCTGCATTGTTAGGGTGTATGTTGACCATTAATGAGCAATAGAAGTGCGTAAGTTCCTATGCTAGGCTTATGGTAGGAACTTATGGACGGTTTGAATATGCGGATTGTGAATGCAGGCTTCTGGTGAAGCGGCAACAGTTAACTGAGAAAAGGCAGGAGTTACTTAATTGCTGCATCACAGGTGCCTTCATTCATCTAGATCGCGGCTCTTTGAGGACCTCAAAACGACTTTTATCAACGATATGTCAATGTAAAACGATTGGAACTGTGCCTATGCAGCGATTCGAACGCTACATTCCTTCGACATTTAAGTCTCAACCTATTTCGTATCACAATCAAGTAAATTGAGACAGCATTGGAAAGTTATTTGTCATTTTTACGAATCTCTGTAGGTGGAGCGAAGTTGTTTTGAGTGCTGTTTTTTGGCTAGGCTAGATGTAGATCAAAATACGGCTTTCTATGGAAATCGACTTGTAGATATCAACACAGGGATTCATATTGTAGCGGTGTTGTCGAAGGTTTACATTGCATCTCGGTCAGCTTCTTGGAGTCTCGAAGCTAAATTTTCACCTAATTACTAGCCTTCATCCTTCAAATTTGGCCTTTAAATGTCTTACAGACAAGGTACAAGCCCAATCCAACTTATTACCAAATAGTGGTAACGCGAAATTCCATCATTAGATTGTGCAGAGAGACATCACGATCATGACATTTCAATCTCCATTAATTTCGCAGATTACATCATTGCCTTGTTATGAAGATTTCGACAAAAAGTGCTTTAATTTGTTTCGTTTAATTGTTTAACTCTTTTTGGTTCGTGATTGCAGAAGGAGTAATATCAAGCACTCCAATTCAATACAACTTCAAAATGGTCCTGCATTCGCGGTAATGAGAGGGTCTTCGCGGTAGGTTAGCTGCACTGTCAACGCACTCCATCGGGCACAATTACCTCTCCACAGCAGCACTGCCACTGCCTCTCTCCCCCAACCTTCGCTCTTGTACCACCGCCTCTGTCTGATTGGTGGCGCGAAATATGCGCTTGCGCGCTCTCCCCGGGCGGGTGGAGCTCAGCCCAGGAGGACGCAAACTTGCTACTCGCCCCCTGCATCCTTTGCAGTTTATTTTTGTCCTAGTAATGGGCTCCAGCGGCTTTCTTATCGCCGATATACTAGGGGATACGACGACCCCACATCGCGGCAAGAGAGCGGACAAGGTTTGCCCTATAAGCAAAAAGGAAAGACTATGGTTAAACAAACAGCAACAACTGAATCTACCACTGCCTGCGTGGATCTTCTGCACTCGGTATTCTGATCGTCCATCGTCTGGTGAGTTTGCGTTCATCATCGTTATTTAAACTACTACTGGGATCGAACATTCCTTGCCTCTAAACAATTGTGATTTCTGATGATTTAATCCTTTTCTTACGTGTTACACAAGGAAGTTAACCAAATTCATTGATAATAACCCGGTTATCCACCTGAATAACCATCACGTGTAATTCTATGTGCTCATTCATACCACATTGCATTGAAGGCAAGAAGAGTTTTCATAAAGAATACAAATGTCTGCTACTGTAAACAAAGAATGCAAACGTTGGCAGCATATTACGAATACACTAACACGGGTACAAATGCACTTAAGCAACTCCACTATAAGTAGTCATCGTAAAGTCCAGAATTCTGAAACTCGAAGCCAAAGGCAGCATTAAAACTGGGAAAGTCGAGCTTGTCTTCACCGAAGGCGACGAATGATGGCCCAAGATCCCCATGAAGCTGGCCAGCATCGCCGAGAATGCGTCTGTTTCTCGTGATCGTCATTTGGGAGAGTCTGTCGATCAAATTTTCCTGATTCTCTTTGCGGGGACTCCTTAATCGCTGTAATTTCTGATTGAGGTAATCCCTCTTCACCTGCCTTTTAGCATCTGCTGTGTACTGAATGGCAGTTTTAACACGCTCAATCCAGCTGGTTTCCATTTGTCCTTCACAGATTGCTCTCCATTTGCTTATCTCAAAAGCGTACTTTTCCAGCCTATGGTGGGCGTCAGTTATGAGCTCTTTGCGCATCTGAACGGATAATTTGTAGGCCAGATCTTTGGCCCTATCTGTAGGGATTGGTGGCTTGTAGTGAACGCTTTTAGGAAAGACATCATTTCGCACGCAACTATGCAGGAAGAAGAGCTGTTCGCGTGTTACTGCTTCATGAATGACTGCCCACTCCCAGCGTCTAACGTTCTGCAGCACCTGCTTACCGTAATGATCGTGGACTTCCTTAAATATTCTGACCTCCTGCTCGGGCATAGACGATCTTGGAGTAGAAGTCATCTCCTCCCTTTGTTCCTCCTTCCAACACTATGTACACCTGGGATTGAACGACGACTACCGGCGCTCAGCTGACCGCACTGGTGTATGAGCGCTAGCCGCTGCAACTCATCCTATCGATTTTCCATTTGAATTCGAATCGACTCAAATTAATTTAAACTCGAAATCAATCGGTGTCTCCATGTGTTACAAGAGCTGTCCCTCATCTCCTCCCACCTTGCTCCCTCTCGTGTGAATGCTGATGCGCCAAGCCCCAGTAAACAACAGCGGTGATAGCTTCTTAACGAGCACATTACGCACAAAAGAGCTCTACTGGTCTCTCTCCCTATTTACTCGCTGCCCTTCAGTAGGCTTTGCACAATCACAACTGCTTGCAATCTCTTGTCGATAAAAGTTCGGCTGATGAAAATAATATCTTCAGCAGCTCTAGCATCACATGAACATTAGCATCACTTTGTTTTGTTGCTGCCCTCGTCTTGTCAAAGAGGACAAAAATCCAAAGTCCGCTATAGAAATAATGACACAAGTCCCTTCACTATCTTTTAGTGCTTAAAACATTCAGCTCATTAAAGCATGCCCACTGAGCCGAAGATAACTACAGAACCTTCAATCAGGCCTACTTGCTTCATATTCACGCTTTGACTCATACTAATGGGAGGTTATTTAGAAGGAAGCTGCAATAAAATGATTTAACGCTCAGTATAACGCCTGTGAGTAGATGCAGCATCAATGCCATGGCTAGGCTGAATTGAAGGTTTGGGTTAATTTAGGGAACAGGCGACAAGACGGCTCATTTAGCAGCCATGAACTGCGACAGTTACTTGACACCGCCAATTATCCGGCACTAGAAAATGTCACTTTCACCCAGACCTGTCAGTCAGGCCACCATCAGTCACCTATCTCAAAATAAATGCGTCAAAACGGACAGCTTTAACTCTAGTTCACATGGCTTTCCAAAAGCTAGACGGTAAATGAACGGGTTTTGCTTATCCATTAGTTAAATTTCACATCTAAAAGCGGATTCGGTGGAAAATAACTTAAAAACGCTTGAAGCAATGGTAATTCTAACGGAATAATGATGTCATTTAAAACCTATAGTACCTTGCACTTTCATCGTAGTCTTCGCAGCGAATAAATGAATTGTTTCAAAGGAAGTGATGGGACAACCACTGCAAACAAGGCAAGATTTATTCAATAGGAGTAATTGTGGTGTTGACTCAAGATTGGCATTGCGACTCCCATTTGTTGGAGCACAGATTTCCATACGTTAAGCTTAATAATCTAGCTGCTTACAGCCTCTCCAATGTTTGGCTTACATTTTCTTCGAATCATACCGTATACCATTCATCTTAACTGGGTCGCTGTCATGCGTCCTCACCAGCCCAGTTGTGCTAATTGTGAAGCCGACGCTGACATTCTGGGTCAGCAAATCGTCAATTTTATTCACGGACAGTAGCGTGCAATCAAAAATCAGATGAATCATGGAGCAGTAGTGCGTACTTGCATGGCTTCTGACACTTTGGCAGCCAAGATGCCACATAAGCCCGCCTATCCTCAAATGTGATGTCGCAAGCGGATACAAGTTGGCAACAGGCGAGAGGTAATATGTGCTCTAGTAGTTTCTAGTTTTAAGCTAGAAATAGCAATGTAAAGAAAACAATATTTTGTAGATTTGACAGAGTAGCAAGACCATTTTTTAGTGGGGGAAAAACTTTTCGCTTTGGCTAAATTCTTCACATGGGAAGGTAATTTTGGACCGCCCAAGAGCACTGACAATCGTCGAAGCCATAGTGAAGTGTTTGCCTTTGCTTCTGCTTATTTTTTAAATTCCTTTTACCATTTTCTGAAGCATAATGGAGGCAAGAGGTACAGCGATGGACTATTTGTACCTAGAAACGAACTTGAGGTGGTGCATTTTTGACTACAAGAAACCTAGGAGGCGAAGGAGTCTGGGCAGCTCTTGCAAAAAGTCCTTGGAGAGCAGAGCAATTACCAAATCACGCGAAACTAATTAGACTACCAAGATTTTAGTCAAGTTGGAGAGGAACACTGGAAGTTCAATTAACCTTATTTTTTCCAACGTCAAACGCACTAGAAATTATGGTTAGCCGAATCATCCAGTATGCACCTTATCCTCAGTCACATCCTTCCGTTTCCAAAGGCATTTATTGTCAACTTAGTCTGTCCTCAGAAAAGCTTTGAAAAGCACTTTTGCGTAGAAGGGCATTCAATCTTTCTTGAAAATATGAAAATAATTATCCATTCATTACTGAGTCTTAAACTATGGGACATTTGCGTATTTGAGTGCTGACGTTGGAGGAGATTGTTTCCATCCCCTAGCATATTTTACGCCATAAATTTTCAAAATTGAGAGATAAATTCCTGCTTCCATCTACTGTTAGTGCACAGCGTGCAAATGAGAATTGAGAAACCTTTAAAGCTTTGCTGTAAATATTATGAATGGTTGGATATGCATTACCGATTTCAGTAGCCTTTTTAGCAACCGGTTTCGTATGTGGGACATGTGTAGAATGGAGTTGGGCAGAATGCCGTCCATTTGCCTTGTAGGACCAAGAATGAGAAAATTGCGAAGTAAAAGCAATGGTACAGTCAGCGAGAAACGACCACGCACCTCCTTCACAGTCTCACAGGTCAGCAGACTGGTGGCTGAATTCGACAAAGATAGGTACATCCAACCCCACCTCCGAGTTTGTTACGGTGCTAAAGTTGAAGTGACTTCTTAAATCTTCTATTCGATCTGTTTCGAGATCTTTATAAGGTCTTCAAACCACGTGTTAAATGGTCGCCAACCGCCAGGGACCGCTGTTGAATAAATTGAAGCCCCGAAAATGCAGCTTGGCAATAGTCCAACGATATTTTCACGTTGTGGAGTTTCTGTTGCAATGAAGATAGACCTTAGAGTTAATGTACCCTAAAATGCGTTAAATCCGACAACATTCCTGGGGTTAAGTAAGAGTGTTTTGCTGCAAAAGGCCCTAGTTGCTTCTTCTGAGGCACAACTGACGATTCAACATCAAGAAAGTGGTTTAAAAGCCTTGCCATTATTGTAGGCAAATGTTCCTTGTAGATACTTAAACGAATCGCGGCGCAGACATTTGGCTCGAGAGCTTAACTTAGAAGAGTCACAAGTCAAAATATGGTTTCAGAACAAACGCGCAAAAACAAAAAAAGTGAGTTAGCCATTGCGCACTCCTCAATGAACTGCAAAATCGTTTACTTACGTTACATAAGTAGAAGAACGTAATGCCACTGGCTTTTCCATTTTAGGCATCTGGTGCTTGCAACTCCCTTGCATTTTACCTCATGGCGGAGGGACTTTACAACCACTCAGTACGAGTCGAAAAATCGGTGCCAGAGCACTGAGAGATGAAGTGGATGGGCAAAACATTTCGTTTCGTCATGCTGTTTCAGTTGACATTGTCCTTGTCCAAATAAATCACAGGCATAACTACTCGTTTTAAGCACTTGTACTCTGTGAATCTCTTCTCTCAATCGGAACTGTATGGATCCTTGGAGTAGTTGTAAGTGAACAGAATCACCTCCTTAGGTGAATAAGCACAACAGTGTTTTGTAATGCGAATGCTCCAGAATCATCCCTATTTCACAAAAAGGCAAAGAGATGCATGATATTTCAAGAATCACTTTTATCTAAAAGTGGGAAGAGCAGATGATTACAATTTGTCACTTAACATAAGCCCATGAAGTTTGCAGTTAAAGTAAAAAAGGCATTAGGAAGAATAGGCGATAAAGGTGCTCAGAATTTAACCAGAAGTGAGTTGTATCCTTTGAAATTTTGTTAAAGTACGAAGCAGCTTACCTTTTGCAAGCGGTTTTCACTTAAAATGTATGTGCTTTGGAATTCTCCTCTGTCCCATTAACAAAATTGACGCAATCGTCTTGATTAGTCGATCTAAAAAATGAGCGATTGACTAATGACTTGTTAAAAAATCATTTTAAGTCTAGTTTGACTTCTGCTAAAGCTCATTTTGAGCACATAAGCAGCACTCTTATTCCCTTCTATTGTCGGGACGCATCAAAACAGCACCAATCTTGAATTTTCCCGTGAGGACATATTCGATTGCTCCATTACATAACCACGGTATGTTGTCTGTAAATAAGCCCCAATGGTGGTTGCTTCCATTTGAGGTAAAAAATAAGCATCCACTGAAGGCAGTGGGTCGGTACAAACGGAAATAGAGCATGTGGGCTTGATGCTGATACCTGACATCAAAACTGCCAACCGCCCACTTTGCTTTGCTGCGACATTTAAATGTCGACGAACGAGGCTTACAAAATGTATTTTTAATTTTAAAATATGACAACTTAATGCATCCTATGGACGCATTGAAGTGCACACTCGGATGAAAGACAGACATTGTTCCTTATCCTCTAAATTTCCTACCATTGAACCATTTCGACGTAGCATCAATTAGAGCTGCACCGATTACTGTTGCGTGCTATCATTCAATTCCGATATTCCTTAAGATCCTGTTACAATTTAACAACACAACAGCTCTTTTTTTCCTATCGCTAATAACTGTCGCAATCTACTAAAATGCTTCAAAGAGAAGGCAACGATGATGTCTGTAGGGTCGCATCAACAGGAGGCTTCAATGTAATAACAATTGAATGCAAAGTCACACTTCAAATATAATGAAAGGGCACACATCATTATCAGCATAACTTTGCAATTACACACGTTGGTTGAGGAAATAGCTACTTTGGGGGTTCGGCATGAGTGATAGACACGTACATCCGCCCATGGATGCACGATTTGTCGCATCCTCCCTTTCTCCCTTTCCCTAACTGCCTGTCCAACTTCTCTTTCGCCTCCTCTCTTCTTCTTACTCTTTAGCCGATTCTTTGCATTTCACAGAAGGAGAAGGAGTCATAAGAGCAAGAGGGAGTAAGACCACTTTGATTCTCCCGCTTACAGTCTAAGGCTGTGTTAGCAAGGCCGCCCTTGCTATTGTACCCTAAAGCATAACTTCTTAAACAATTTCAAAGGCGAAGTGACTATGGTTGATCAGCGGTTCATCCACAACTGATCGACGCTCGTTCCGTTCTGTTCCGAAACTTTACTATCCATAGAGAGAACGACCCACCTTGTCAATCTTAAACCTGTAACAATGCAGTCCCTTATTATTATACCCAAAGAGTAGGTGAATACAAAATTATTATTATCATTATTATATAGCCATAATGACCACCAGCACTTTTATCAAGTCTATTTTACTACATAATACTTTGAAGAAGTAATGAAAATGATCCCCATAAGTTCGATCTTCTTGTCGGTTCGACTTGTGTGGGAGTGCAAATGTAATGCTATTTCTGAAACTTAGGGCAACGTTTCCTATAGACTTCTGAGCTACTTACTTGCTCAGCATGACCGCAGATGTGAAGGCGTAGCTGCCATAGATGCTGAATGCATTTTTCATGATGTATTAGACGGATATGTATCAAGGTGGAGACCGTAAATCCTGTTTGATAGGTTAAAACATTTCAAATCAACCATTTTTAACACTGCCACTACACTGGCACAAGTAATAAACCCCCCAACTTTCCTAGGATTCTGTTTGATATCAATGAAAACAAGGTAAGACTAAAGTACACTGATGTTTTAATGAATACAGCACAAGTTATTTGTACATCAAAAGGATTGTAGGAGAGATGATTGACAATGCTGCAAATAGGTTCTTCTCCCTTCATTTACACAAAGCTTGAGGGATTGGCGGATTTCCCATAGACAACCAAATCATGTCGATCGTCATCAACTGGTTTTTGGAGGTCCCCATTGACGTTGCCACCATCCTTCTCGCCTAGAATGTCGTTTTTGAGAAGGCGTCCGAATCCTTCTCCACTCTCCATCCTTTCACCGGTCTGAGCTACGGGAAGCATATCCACATTAAAAGTAACCTTGGCACCTTCAACTAATCCAGAATTCTCCTTTGACTTCTTCGAATTTTTCGTGAATGTAGATGGATCGAGAGTTTGATAAGCTTCAGAGAAGTTGTAGAGTTCTGTGCCTTCAACTGATATAAGGCGTCCATCAGGAGCCATGTACGCAGTGGATTTCAGTGCTATACGATTGGGTACCTCGAGACTCAAGTGGTCAGATGGCCGAATTGTTGAAAACATTAAAGGTTTCGACACCAACTTGAGCGGACGGGTTTGCTTCGGCGAAGAGGATATTGTTTGATATGAACTTATGCAATGAGGACCTGACGTGACGTTACCAGGATAGCCCAAACAGTTGTTGGTGGTGGGTATCGAGGAGGCGTTTAAAGGAATTGATATTTCGTAAGCGCCTTCCCGACCATTCCGCTTTTTAGCTCCCTTTTCAGCTGAAATTTTATGATCCACGCAAAAGACACTTTCGGGATAACCTTCACCAAGTGTACGATAATCCTCATTCCATGCACGACTGGAGGGTCCCATTGTTAGCACCTAAATTGCATTACTAATGAATATGCAGCGATGTTTCACTTTAACAAGTGTTATATCAATTAAAAAGCGGCGGCCTAACAGCATTAAATAAAGTTAGTTGGTTAGAGCCCAAGATGAAGCTCTATTGTGATCTGATTTGATGTGCCGTATTGAACGCTGCAGCCATTGAAGAAGTTTAATTTGACCAGCCACCAATAAATTCTTTCAACGGCGTCCAATTAGTGTCAAGGTTACCAAAATAAGCAAGCTTAAGAGGACTCAACACCCACGCATTCATCCAGTCGGAATGTATTTCGGAAGGAGAAAGTACTGGTGAACTAAAAAATGCTTGCTAGAAGATTAAAGACGTCTGTTAAAAAAGCAGAGTAAACAATTTGTGCACAATGTTAGGGAGGAAGGAGAGAGAGCGTAGAGTAGAAGAGATGCCTTAGCTAGATCTTAATTTGAAACAAGTCACTTTTGTGCTTGTGACAGCACCAAGTGTATTCTTGAGCGGTGAGTGCGAACTGCCGGCTGAGAGAGCATGATGCCTTGTTCAGTAGGTGCATTTTATTGCTACCATTGTCATATCTATCTTAAAACACCCCAATCGCCTTAGCGCCTCTGTGATGGCTAATTATGATTGCTTCAAAGTATGGCTGAAACGCACAGTTACCTCATGTTTTTGAGCAATAGCTACTAGTCCTTCCCCTTCTGTCACTGAACGCGCGTTTTCTGATGCTTTGATTGAGGCAAAGTCTAAAAAGTATTAAAATTGCACTAAGTGAGGAAGGGAAAATTGGCGTTTGCAAACATTTCTCATGCCAAATAAACGCAAGCAATGAGTCCACCTCAATGTGCTTTCTCAAGTGTGCACACCTTCGCGTAGAAAATGGTCCCTTTTGACAAACATTGCTTGCCTTGCAATACATATACCGGAAGCCTAATCCCATTAAAACCTTGTCATAATTTCTTGTGCTAGTCGTTCTCTTCTTTAGATGGTAAACGACAGCTGTGAAGTCATTTATGTAGCTTAAGTCCATTCGAATAATCGCCAGGCCTTAGGTACAAAGGGATGAGTAAAGTGGACCCAAAATCACCCCGCGTTTTGTCGCCATCTAGGCAGTCGTCAGTGCGTCAACATGTCCTACTCGATTTATTACAGATGGATCGTAAAGTCCCACCAATTCTAAGCGCAAAAACTGCGCCATAGAGTGAATCCCGCGAATCTTGGATTAAGATTTTGTAAAATAGCCTCACTAATGGTATTCTAGTTTGTCATTTAAAAAAATTTGGATAATAATGTTAGCTGGAGTATGCATAACTAGAACTGGAGTTAATATCGTCACCAACAAAAACCAAGAAAATTTTCTATTGGTCTTCACAGAGCTTATCTCCGTCGTCTGTGTGGTGGGCTGGCATTCCACCGCTCTCAACAACAACACCAGAACCACAACTCTTCACAAGCATGAATATTCTTGGTTCGAGTTAGCCTACTGAATTGCCACCAGTCAGCACAGCTGATGCATAATCATGCTACAAGAACAAAAGTATCTTCCCTCGCAAAAAATGCATTCACAGTGACAGTTGCAAAGCCGACTAGTTTAGGCAGTCTAATTCGCCACCAAACCTTCTTCACTAAATAGTGCTAAACTAATGCCAGTTTTACTTCCTTAGAAGACAAAATTGTTTTCTGCGGTATTTATAGGAGGCGCCTCTCATGCAGAAGGAATTACATTGTCCTACACAAGATTAAAATGCGGACCCTGCAAAGACTGAGATGCTAAAAAATTGCTAAGCGAAGGATTCACTAAGTACGCACTTTCAGTTACAATCAACGTCGTGCCATTAAAAGGTTTTGAATGTCTTCCAAATCTGTATAAAGCATCAAAATCGGAAGGACAAAAACTCATTCATGTTGAATAGCCAACATCTGCACCAGCCTTCCTCACCATCGCATCGTCACCCTGCTGATGTAGTTATAAGGGAGCTACACTACACTGGATCAATCGTAGATTTCATGTGCCTTTCTCTTTTTGCTCAGACCTCGATACAAGCACAATCCATTGGATGGGGTTCCTCTTGACCAGTGGAACTGGATTTGACTTCGTGCCGGTTGTGTTGGCACATAACAGCTTACTAAGTTAACTCTACATTCGACTTAAGGCATACATTAGCCTGAAATTCATATTTATTTAACCAGCTGACATTCCATGAGGCATAACGGTTTTGGTACTTATTTGTACGGGAAAAGTTGAGTGAGAGAAGAAGTCCGTAATAATTTTCCACTCACGCTGACTATCAAGGAGACCGCATCTGAGAGCTGCAATAATGAAGAGGAGGAGTATGCAGAAGATGCCAGCAATGGAGACGAGGACGGAAATTACTTTCATTTGATGGGAGGAAGGCGGAAATGTCGGGGAAGAGGAAGGTGCGACCGCGTCGGAGAGCTTTTCGCCTCTGTTTATGTTCTCCTGCGCCCTCAGGGGTGGATCTTGCCGGCTCCCGTGGCTAGGGCCTCCGGACATGGTTCCTTTCGCACCTCCGCCTTCTTGCGCTGCTGCACCGCCCTCAACTGCACTTATTCGAGAGCCCAGTGGCGAAGCCACCGGCGAACCCTTTTGAATGAACTTTGTGTAGTCTGGTTCGCTCTTCACTATTACTGAAAGCTGAATCTAGAGGGCAGAAATGTATCAATGCGAGTGAGCAGCTTTTAAGAAGAATAAGCTGATTGGCTCATTACAATGTCTACAATGCAGTATTTATACGCTTTCCGCGATCGTGCCAAGCATGCTGCCTTCTTTGCTTAACCACATATTTTAGTGCACCCAGATTTAAAAATACTTGTCAATTTTTGGCAGCAACAGGGATTATTCAGTCAATTATTCGGCGTAATTGTCGTTAGTAGTACCAATCACCATATGATGTTGTCAGACGTCGCTATGTAGAGAGCTCGCCATTGAACCTGCATCTGATCACTTCACTACGAAACTCGTGCATTTACACCAAAGAAGCGCTTACTACTTAAATGAATCCTTTTAGAACACCGTCATGCTTTTAGATGCACGTCTCATGCAGAGGTACGAGAAAATCGTCAAAAAATTGGACTTTATTAGTATTTTGTTTATGATAGGGAAAGACTTGCTTAAATAATAACAGCGTGCATACTTTGCATTATTGTACGCATTCAGTTCTGCGTGACAATTGGTTGTTAGTCGGCTTTATTCAAGAAACATTTATGATGGGCGGAGCACTGTTAAAGTGTTTTAAGTTGTAAATTAATTAGCTTGTGAAAAATGGGAGTGAATAATTCAAGGCAAAAGTCCAAACTGCAGCTACAGAAAAGAGGAGAACGATTTATGGGAGTATTGCATGTGTAGCGCCGTTGTTTGGAGCTGATAGAATTTCATTTATGCCATTGGGCTCACGGACCACAAATTGTGGAATAGACGAGGAATCTATTTCTCCCTGTTTGGTGCTGCGACATAATTTTTATTCCTACTCCAACTAAAGTTCGCACGATGCGGGGGTGGGGAGGGATTCTGCTGGCGCGCATAGAAGCCTAGTCTCAGAGGCGCAAAATTGCGGCCGGGCTGATCGCAACAGTGTTGCAATATCTCAGAAGGCGGACTGGTGTTCAGTAATCCCTTTGTCAAACTCCATAAATTGGTAACTTTCGGAAACAATGCAGAGCAACACCTCTGATTAAAAGTTGGCAATTGAATGTAAAAGTTTGCGTACTTGCAAGTAAGTTGGTTAATTTGGTGGAATCCCGTGTAGTCATGGAAATTGAATAACCAGTAGCTAATGCGGCGAAATACGCTTTAAAGCTCAGCTTTTAAAGACGGAGACCCTAAGGGACCATCTTGGGCTTCACTTGCCACCCACATGAGGTAATTCAATTCTCCCCTTGGATTTCTTCACTTTTCTGCGCAATCCACATATTGCAACTTTGCTGTCGCGTAGATACACTTGGCATTTCGTAGAACCGTACGGTAAACCGGGATGTTGAAGCTCAACTTATTTGGGGTTAACCACGTTTCTGAGATTGGAGGGCATCATAAATCTGGTGTAGTATGAAAGTAAGGTAATGTGAATATTTGGGGCAAATTTTATTATGCGTTCATGGCCTGTAGATTCGTGACTTTGTAACTATACCTATGCCAACGAAACGTACCAACTAGTCAAAACTTGCCGTCATTATGCACTGTCCTCAAGCCAGACTGGCAGAGGGTACCGTCGTACACTTGATCTCTAATAGATGCTTTTCCTCATAGTAATAAACTACAGTCAGCGTATATGAGAATGGGTGAGTAACTGAGGCAAGGGGTGTCTTTAACTGTCAGACAACCACCAAACGTTCACCACCAACCCTTCCCACACCAACCATCTTCCCTCCCTTTCCACACTGCTCTTCATGCATAATTGGGAGAAAGTCAGGCATGCCAAGGGAAAAACTCGTGCTGTCACACACTATTTGTCACCATCTGTCATTCTTTTCATCAACCAATGGAATAATTATCAAGACAAATTAGAGATTGGGGAATCGAGAATAATTCAACGAATCTAATAATCTACCTTAAACAAAAGGGTGACTCTAATTATTTCTAACCTTAAGCATAACGGCAGATGCTGAAATTATTTAAAAGAATGGTAGTCATTTATTTAAAATAATCACTAGGTTTGCTACAAATAGTTATGCAAAAAGAACAGAAAGAAATTTTGCAGTAGTATTAAATTATAAAACGTGAAACGAAAGAGTGTTAGCGTACTTGGGAAGACAGACTGTCGTTTCCAGTACCGTCATGAGCTTTCAGCAATAGTTTGAAGCTCTGAGGTTGAGGAGGCCTTTTAAGCGCACACAAGACGTTTGGAATTTCCTCGTAGAGTCCAAACATTCCATCGAATGTGTCGTCCAGCTCCAGCGTGCAACAAACAGCTCGACTTGTTGGATCGCAGTCTCTATCAATGACTCTATAAGGTATAGGTTCGCAGAAACGTCGCTGGTCCCTCAGCGTCTGGTTGGCACCTGGAAGAGGCAACTGTTCCCAGGCGAAGATGATATGTTTTCGGTGAGGCGAGATAAGCACGAACTCAGGCCGATTGTCGTTGAGATTCAGTACAGAGATTATCACGCTAGCCTCGGTGTGGTAGGCGGCGGTAGTCATCGAGCTACCGCCAACAGACGGGGTGGCAAGTGGCGCTTCATTCTCGGCGATGACGGTAAGAGAGATAGAAGACTGCTTTTCGAAGTCTACAGGACGACGCATGCTTAGTTGTCCAGTGGCACGGTCAATGTCCACTAAGAAGAGGTCCTCAGGACGGCCACGCAACAGGAAGCGCACTCTACGGTTAGCTTCCGTTAGATCGGCATCACGTACTGATACTTGTCCAACCACTGTTCCCACCGGGGAGTTCTCCTTCACCTGCAATATAAGTAGGCTGGATATTGCTCACTAATCATCAACCAATATAATTTTTTAGCATATCCTCAGCTTAAAGACCTTTTGTCATGGTTACTCGCTTGCTACACTAATCTTGTGCAGAATGCAGAACGAGATCACTTTTTGTGCTCTCTGACATTTAAACCAACAAAATTACTGCAATGTCGTTTCGTCGCACAGGATAAACCATTGTTTGGAAGCAAGCCGAATAAAATTAAGGGAAGTGCTGTTGCGTTTAAAAGAAGAACAACAAAAAGACTGCGACTGCTCAATTTTGAGGCAATCCAGTTCGATGCATTCTGAGGGAAGAAAAGGGGCATTTAAGAAGTATACAGAATTGCCATTCAAACACTAAATAGGCTACTACAAACTACGAAGGCTGTGATTTAATGTCTTTCTATTTGTAACAAATAAACGTGTCCAACTTAAGGCCCAATTAAGCGTTAGCATAGCTTTGAAAGCACATCAATTGAAGGGCATACGTCGAGATGCTCATCTTAATTTCGTAGAGTCAAATCATGAGGGTTCATTGTTCTCAACATTATCCAAGAATGGGTGCACTGGGAGCCAACATGATGGAGGAACAGTCAAGCTTACTGCCAACTGCCCAAAAGTGATAGCTCATGTAGAGAGGAACAGTGGTGGAATGAGGAGAGTTGAAGTGTTTTCTAGTAAAGAAGTTCTAATAAATGATAAAAATAAAACACGGAGCCAGACTTCTTATGGGTACAGGAAATTCCATACCGAGTGGCTGATAAGATTTTGCACCTCTAAATAGAATGCTGCTACATCGTTGCGTAAAAATGATCCATGACTCTATAACATGTATAAAGTAGTCAATCGGCCAGTGCAAATGTGGGCTTCGACCAACAATTCAGGCAACAGCATCACACCACGATCTGACCTGCTGCATTAAAATACTAACCGATATTTTCGATTCGCCATTGCAAAGCTCAAATCAACGACAATTTGGAACAACAAGTAGTCAAGCCTAACTTTGCAATGTAAATCTGTATAATCAAATTCTGGTCTATAAATTTGTAAAAAAAGTTTTACTATCACTAAGCCTTACTGATAGGAACGGTGGATGATTAAGCCCAAGACCTCTCTCTTTTTCTCCTAGAGAAGGTATTTAAATAGATGCAGTCAACCCCTTAAAAGTCCTTGCTCGTTGCAGCAAACACTCCGCACCATTCATTCATTCATTCATCCATCCACCATCCATCCATCCATCCTCCTCCCTAGTGTAACCCTCCCTCACTATAGGCATACGACGAATCAGTTCCAACCACCTCCGCTCCTTCCCCAACCACACCTTCCTCCTTCCCCTCTCCAACCTCTTGTTTCCCACCTCCTCATTCCATTTCGCATGCGACTGTGCATTGCCAAGACAAAAACACGCTCGTCACCATCACCCGGGGAAGTGGTATATCAAGGGGATTAGTAGACACATTTGTGTCATAACTCCCATTACTAGCTCTCCTCTCGCCTCCCCTCGCCTCCCCTCGCCTCCTTGTCTCGGTTGATGTGGATCTGCACAAATTACTTCATCACCCACGTTAGGCACGAATGACCATCGCTCCTGACACCCTGCCTCCAGTCACTTTAATCAACAGAGACACACAATTCAGTATCACTGCCAAGACCGCATGACCTCCTCCACCTCGCGCATCGTCACCATCCTCCCTCTCCCCACCATGAAACACGTACGCAGTGCACCGTTGCATGCGCGGCGTGTTGGTTGCCATGCCACTGCACCTTTTCAAAATGCAGCCCAATGCATTTGACAGGACGATGGCGTTGACAGCATTGGAGTCGTACCCAAACCCACGAAGCAGGTGGGCTCGACACTGCTTTCAGCTGGCACTGCGGTCTATGCGAGGTCAGAGGAGGCGATGAACAGTGCATTGCCAGACTGATGCATACTCGTCCATGCATTAGGAGAGGGTTATCCACTTTCACAAGCACTTACAATTTATTGCCATTTGCTGCAGCAAGCTGCGCCAAAAGCGGTAAAACTCAGTGGCCAATTGAGGGGGTTGTACAAATGATTTTAAAAAGCCGGTTGTTATTTGTTTTTTTTTTCATGGCGTCACAAGCAGGGCATGCTGTGGAATTCTGCCTAACACTACCCCAAGAAGGTAAAATTGAATTAAAGACATAATGTAGGTCTTTATGAATGCACTTTCATTCGAGCCATCATGGTTAGTGTGGTTAATTTAAACGAGAAAATTGTGATTTTCTGTGAAAGAATTTGAAGATAGTGAGAAGCTGCAGTTGGAGAGCAGCCATAGTGAAATAGAATAATCAAGATGAGCATTTAATTTTGCTTCGTTTATCTATGTCCTGCGGAGGCTTCAAGACCTACTTTTGAGTAGTTTTATAAGCCTGGTCAATTAAAAATCAGAAACTTAAACTATTGCATTCTTAAAGGAAAATAATTAATATAAATTGGTACTTTATGAGCCTTCTACTACATCTGTTTCGACAAAACAAGTATCGAAACCTTGTGTCAGTTGAAACCTCCTAAGATATCCAAAAATGAAATCAATTTTATTTTGGAATTTTTTCGTACCGATATGCCACTCCCGCTTCTGATTTCAAGTATCTCATCTTCAGCATGAGAAACTTTTCTGTTTACAACTGATTTCTTAAGCTAAATAATGTGCGGTTTTCCTGAGGTGGGTGCCTTTTAAGAAGTTTTGTATGCAGTTGATATGTTGTACCCCTTCTTAATGCCTCCCACCGAAGTGGAATGTTGGATTTCTCAAATGATTCTACCGCCCATTGTCGGTATTTTTGAAGCACGTGTTTCTTTGCACTTGCATTCTGTTTCGAGAGTTAGATGAGATTTTCTCTGCAAAATCGGATTTGGACTCGGTAGTGGCGAAAGGTTCATTAATGCTCCAAAATAGTTTAGTCACAGTTCTGGAATGTGGTTGCTAAACAGTGAAAGGCAAAAGCAAGTAGATATCGCGCTCTACAACTTAACTCACAAGGTGGCGAAAATGCCAACCGTCACCTGTCGTTACTCTCACCATTTTATCTGCATAAAGAAGTAAAAAATGATACAAATTTAGTTCTACTAAAAAGTTATCTTTTTCGCCAGTTATCAAACCTCTCTGCGTCACCAAAATCCAATTTTGAAATCTGTCACATAAAGTATGTATAAAGGGGAACCCTTTTTTCCGAGAGAATGTTCGTCCACATTCCAAAATGCAAAAAGAAACCTATAGGGTTTTGCACACTTTCATTATTAATCATCTGCATATATATGTTTGCTGAAATTGAGAAGCACAAGAACCTACTTTCAGTACTGATGGGTCGGTTATTTTGAGACTTTTCTTGGATCTCTAAAATGAGAGTGGTCAGGCGAGCCGCGCGGTGCTTGGGTGGTCGGGCGGTATGATAGGAGGCAGGAAAGAAGGAGGGTCGCAAA